ACCTCCCGGTCGGCTTCGAGCTGGCGGCAACCGAAGAATGCGGCTAAAACTTTTGCGAGATCTCGCAAAAGTCCGTCTTCTCATGATTTTTTTTCTCCCATGTCCCCTGCGGGGCTCCGCAACAGACACATCACGGGTACAGCAGTCCATTCTCCCTGCAGCACGGACTACACTGCCCTACATGCTTCAGGGCGATGCCTGTAACACTCTGCCTGTTGCCTTCATATTAAATCATTTTTAAAATATTTCTTCACGTCATTATGAGACGCGAGATTGAGACACGGGCGTTAGGGCCTGTAGCGTGTTTTGTTTGGGTTTCCACTGGCGTGGAATTACCAAAAATAGAGGCTACAGCCTTATGAAACAGGAAAAAAACGCCGTGTACTTTAGTTCAACAAAGTAACTGTATTCTGAATTTAAACGGTAACTGTAACAGAATACAGTTACTCATATTTTGTATAAATGTAACGGCTCAGCTGTTAAATCATACGCCATCAGTTTCTGCTCAGCAAGAGAAAACAGGAAGTGGAGTAATAACAGGAGACGTGTGTGTGTGTGTGTGTGTGTGTAATGGGTCTGAGTTTTAGTACTTTTGTATCAATAGAGCCATTCATGGACACAGTGTGTGGTGTTCGGTTCAGTGTGAGACAGAGAATGAAACTGAAACCTTGTTCTGCTGCTTCAGCTCGTCTAATATGTACTGAGAGGAGCTGAGGTGTGTTTGTGTGTGTTTGTGTGTGTTTGTGTGTGTGACTGTGATTAAATATAGTGAGTGATGGGAATTTTAACAGTAGTCACTCTGTCTCTCTGTAGAACAATGACTTCTTTGTGAGTTCTCACCTGACTTTGGCCGTCATGACACCACAGCTCTGTGCAGTCCCCACCAGTATCCCGAATGCTGCCCCAACTGTGTTATTACTGGTTTACTGGGGATGTTAATCATTATAATCACTGATTAGAGTTTTGTTTGTAAAACTAAACTTTAGGCTGGGAATATCTGAGTATGATGACATTTTAGGGCGATAATAAAATAAAGTCTTTTATATAATAGGAAATATCTTCAGACATTAAGCTGGACTGGTTCTGGTTGGGCTGTGGCACCATTGTTGTTCTCCTTCCTGTCACTTGCTGCTCTACTTTATATTTGTCCAAGCAAAACACGACGAGTGTGAGTAACCTTGTTCCTTTAGAAAGCCTCGTGTGTGTGTGTGTGTGTGTGTGTGTGTGTGTGTGTGTGTGTGTGTGTGTGTGGTTAACCACATGCTAAGGTCACTCGGTGACGAGCACTGATTGTGCTGAGACACAAAGGTGAGCTGTGACTCTTCAGAAACACATGACTTCTTTGCCCCGCAGCACTTGGAGTGATGTCATCAAGTGTCCTCTTAACTGTTCAGTGAGGTCAGGTGACCAGTGATGCGTGGTCATCCACAGAGTGGAGCTCGTGCACGCACACCGACCAAAGCTGTAAACGCAGCAAAGTTCCAGCGCCGCCGTGTTTCTATCAGAGAGAAACAACTGCCCCGCTGCAGCAGCTGACCTTGGCTCCTGTGTTCAACATTTATCTCGAATAACAAGTTAAATAACCTCCCGTGCACACTCCCCAACCCTGGGTGACTTCAGGAAGAAGATCTTTGTCCGCAGGACTGTGTTAGAGCTGAAGTGTCGTCACGTTTGCTGTAAAACAAACACGATGGCTTTAGCTGCTTTCAAATATCTGTAACGGCCAGAACACCTTTGTTCCTGATGACGCCGCGGCTGTCAAGTGAACTGCAATCAGTGTTTTGTGGTTAGTGAGCAGCCGGCTGGTTAACCACAGCCTGCTGTGAGAAGCAAACACGTATGACCATGCCAACTATTTTGATCCAGGTCTACTAATAGATTAAATGTTTCAGTCATACACAGCAGTGTATATGTTAGTGAGCCCTGTTGCAGACTGAGGTCTGATGTGCTGTATATCTGTGATTGTGACATGTTGTCACGTTTGCAGCCCAGAAACAGACTTCTTGTGTATAAATATGACACATTCAAATACCAGATAAGAGATCGGGAGGAAGAACAACTCCTATACTACAGCAGAACACCTCAGGAGACGCCCTGACCTTTAACCCTCCTTCAGCTCCTGTGGGAATAGGCCTCTACCCCAGCTGTGTGTGACAGCAGCTGATGCAGCAACGCGTGACTGCTATTTATTCTTCAACTCATCCACACAGTCTGTTTCTGGCTGTGCACGATGAATAAGACAGAAAGCACAAAAGACCATGTTTATGTTTCAATTCAATTCAATTTTATTTATATAGCGCCAAATCACAACAAAAGTCGCCTCAAGGCGCTTCATAGATACAGAGAAAAACCCAACAATCATATGACCCCCTATGAGCAGCACTTTGGCGACAGTGGGAAGGAAAAACTCCCTTTTAACAGGAAGAAACCTCCAGCAGAACCAGGCTCAGGGAGGGGCGGGGCCATCTGCTGTGATTGGTTGGGGTGAGAGAAGGAAGACAGGATAAAGACATGCTGTGGAAGAGAGACAGAGGTTAATAACAGACATGATTCAATGCAGAGAGGTCTGTTAATACATAGTGAGTGAGAAAGGTGACTGGAAAGGAAAAACTCAATGCATCATGGGAATCCCCCGGCAGCCTACATCTATTGCAGCATAACTAAGGGAGGATTCAGGGTCACCTGGTCCAGCCCTAACTATATGCTTTAGCAAAAAGGAAAGTTTTAAGCCTCATCTTGAAAGTAGAGATAGTAGTTTATTCATTTATATTCACCTCACAGCAACAAGGTTGTGGGTTTGAATCCAGGCTGCACTCTCCCCGTGTCTCACGTGTCTGCTTCCTCCCACAGTCCAAAGACATGCAGGGTTAACTGGTGATGCTACATTACCTTTAGTTGTGAATCTGAATGGACTGTCCTGTCCGAGGGTGGACCCTGACTCCCGTCCCCATCCTCGATGCTAACATGACAAATACCGAATAAAATGAAAACTAATGTGACACCACAGCAAAGGAAGGAGGAGTGTGAGTGCCACCTGGGAGCGAGTGTGTGTGTGCGACATGGCAGCTGCTGCACAGACGCTTGTTTGTGACAGACTCGCTCATCTGGACCTCTGAGTGCGTTCGTTGGCTTTGCTGTGCCTGCACATTTGTCCTCATCACAGCAGATATTTATAGCTGGACAGAAGTATTTGAAATAATTTCACATGACTGTAGTCTGAGGTGATGAGTGCAGGTGATATGACGTGTGGATCGTGGTGGCAAACACAGACCGGGACATTTAGGCAGAGCTGATGTGTTGGTTGGATTAATGTCAGCACTGCAGGATGATGCTGGGGTATATTTTTCCAGAAACACACCGACTCTGCAGACAAAGAAACACTTTGTATGTTTGTTTACTTTTGCTGCCATGATGCCAGCCTCCCTCGGAAACAAGGCTTTAATCTCAATGAGATGTTTACCTGGATACAGGACTAATAAAAATGCTCTGATACGAGCGCACGGCCCTGTTTACAGTGTAAACTTACTGATTAGTGTTGAAGAGCTTAAATCCACACTTTAGCATGTTGAGCACACAGCCTGAAGTCTCTCACCCCAACCAATCACAGCAGATGGCCCCGCCCCTCCCTGAGCCTGGTTCTGCTGGAGATTTCTTCCTGTTAAAAGGGAGTTTTTCCTTCCCACTGTCGCCAAAGTGC